AACCCTGTTCAGGGTCGCTATGGGTCGGAACTGACTCGACGGCACTTAACAATAACAACATAAAAAATGAGAGGCTATAAAGGCATGAAGAGGCTGGCTTATATAAACATTCATGAGTGTGCTTAGTTTCAGAATGAGGAGAGTAAGGCAGAATCCCTATGGGATAGTTTTGCTTTTATCAAGATGGATCTGGTAAAAATGGATAGGGGACGATGGTGATCTGATTTTATGATTCAACTGTGAGTAACTGTTAGCAGGATTAACTGTGATTTTCACAACTGTAATTACAGAAGATGTATAACTAAAAGGGGGTGTAGTTAATCTTTTATTTTGCAAATAGATGATCCCAGGGCCATCAAGAAGGAAGAGTATGGTGTAGTGTGAGATCCCAGCCTAGAAGAGTGGTGACAGCAGAGATGGTGGTGGAGGCAGTAGCATGGAGACGCAGAGCAGCTGTGGGCTCTAGTGCTAGGGACTGAGAAAGGCTGTGTGTCTGCAGGAAGGAGGCTGGCCTTTTGGACATTTAAATGAGTATTTATTTTTTGTTTTGTATGTGTACATCAAATATTTTTGCTTTGGTCATTTGTGAAATGTAAAATGTAAATGAGGAACCAAAGGGAAGAAGTAGGATAACTGTTGTTGCAGAGAAGGGATTGTAATCACTGAAATTTGCTGAATGTAAAGCTTATGATCTTGTCTGTAAACCTTCATCTAATTCACATTAACAAGTTAATGAAAGAAAGAAGCAATAGTAGATGCTAAATTTTTCCTGAACTATTAAAGACTAACAAATTATTAATGAAGAAAATACAACAAACTGGTAGAATTCTCTCTTCAAATTAAGTGTTTGATATGACTGATTTTTTACAAATTTCTCTGCTTCTAAAACTTTACTCACTCAGCTCTTTTGCTTTATTTGCCAACTTTCTGTTTTCTTCATTACTCTCATTCATTTTCAGCCCTTAAGTGTACATCTTGCATGCCTGTTAATCTCAGTGAGAGAGGAACTCTCCCTAGTCTCTTCCATTACACTTCATTAAACACCAGTTCTGTTATGAACTGTCTTGACTCTGTACCTCAAGTTTTCTCTTAATCCAAGAAATAATTTTGTTTCTAGCATGTGCTTGATTCTGGGGAGATAATGACGTGTAAATTATAGTACCAGCCTACTAGAAGTTCATACTCTCAAGGAAAAAAATCAAACACATCAGAAACCAGCTGTGGTAATTACAGAGACAGAGGTATACAGATAGATATTATGGTAATCTTTGGAAACATTCCTCCCTACTCAAATGTTTACTACATCTTAAAGTTCAAATATCTAAATCAGATAGGCATTTAAAGTCTACCTATTTTATATTTTATATTTAAGGAGCTGTGGTAGCGTAGTGGTTATGAATCGGGCTGCGAACCGCAAAGCCAGCAGTTCGAAACTACCAGCTGTTCCATGGGAGAAAGATGAGGCTTTCTGCTCCCGTAGAGATTTACAGCGTCAAAAACCCTGTACAGGGTCTCTATGAGTCAGAACCGACTCCACAGCACATAACAACAACAACATTTTATATTTTAGTCTTAATTTTTCCTCTTTTCCATTCTGTCAAATTGGACTACAGTTAATCCTCAATTATGACATAGTCAGGTTACTAGGAACCACACTATATCACACTTGAGAGAGGAGGGGGAATACATCTTATCAGGAGCTCTGGTGTAGTACTGTCGGGTAAGCAGTAGATTGCTAACCAAAAGGCTGGTAGTTCAAGCCAAGTCATTCCTCAGAAACCCGATACAGGGTTGCTATGAGCTAGAACCAACTCAATGGCACTTAACAACACCACCACACCATTAGTTAAGGAATCTTGGTGACGCACAGGTTAAAGCACTCAACTCTAACTGAAAGGGTCAGTGGTTTGAGTCCACCAGCTGCTCCAAGGGAAAACGATGATGCCGTCTGCTTCTGCAATGATTTAGAGACCTGAAGACTGTCTAGGGTTCCTGTTTCATTCTGTCCTATAGGGTCCCTATGAGTCAGCATCATCTCCATGGAAGTGGGTGGGGTTTGGGTAGCAGTAGTAACAGATTCTGCTGATGCTATTCTCAGACATTCGCTTGCAGATGTGGTCAATTTTATAGCCATTTAGACACTGCGTCTATATTTATGTTTTCAAAACTAAATTAAGGGTTACATGTGCTTGAACACGTGAACCTAAATGCTGATCACTTTGCAAAAGTTGACAGGCAGATTCAAGAAGCAGTGAAATATATGAAGAAAAAAAAAAAAAACAGGATCGTATCGAAAACTCTGTAATTTTCTGGTGTGATCCCATTCCCAGGGATAATCCTGATGATCCAGACCCTGCCACAGCTGACAAAATACCAATGCTGTTTAGCTCCTCTTCGTCAGAGTAAATTTTTATGATTTGTGTATTTTTTAAATGTGTGCATGTATGTGTGTCTACATTAAAATATATCTGTAAATTTATATGTAATGTTGTCAACCTCCAAAGACATAAAGATGGGATTTATAAAAGATACTGGCAATAAAGAGCAATAATAATGAAAATTAAAATCTTAAAGAAGAATTTGACTTCCATCAGATTTAATACAGACTCTTCAGAATGGAGCCCCTTTGTAAGTTAGGAACTACCTGTGTCTTCTCTACAGCAGACAGACACTAAGATGTTGTTATTGTTGTTGTTAAGTGCTGTAGAGTCAACTCACAGACCCTGTATAGGGTTTGTGAGGAGGAGCTGGTGAGTTTGAACCACTGGCCTTGCAGTTCAAACTGACGATAAGGTCGAGTGCTTATCCTATGATGCCACACCAGGACTTTGACTCTCAGATGACCACCAATTATGACCTCATTCCTGTACTCACGCCCTTGCGTAACCCCTCTTTAGTATAGACAGGACTTGAAACTTGCTTCTAACAGAACATGGCAAAAGCAATGGGAAGTTGTTTCCTTGATTACAGTACTCCTTGTTTTACTAATCTTTATATGTAGCATAATTTTGTGTTTAATGCCCCAAACACCACACACTGAAATAAGGCATAAATAATATTCTTACCTGATTGAGATTAAGATTGTTTTCAATGCTCAGAGGAATCAAATGAGGCAATACTTTCCCAGCCAGCTGTTCTTTAGTGATTCCTAACTTCTTATGCGTAAAAGTACATTTGTAAATACCTGATAGAAAAGAATAAGACACATGTTTGCAATTTAACACAAAAAAATGGATAGAAATCATGAAAACAGCGAACCGATGTGAAATCTCAATAAGTAGCATATTCACAAATTTTTCCCAACAGTGTCTAGAATAATGATGTTCTTACATTAGATGAGAATGACTTCAGCCATAGGTAAAGAGCCACACATAATTATCTGGGGGAAGTAGGAGTATATTTAATGCTATTGCTATTAAGTGCTGTTTAGTCAGTTCCAACTCATAGTGACCCTGTACAGGGTTTCTGAGAGTGGCTGGTAGTTTTGAACTGCTGACCTTGTGGTTCACAGTCTAGTGTTTATCCTATAGTGCCACTGTTGTTGTTAACTGCCATCAAGTCGGTTCTGACCCATAGCGACCCCGTATAGGGTTTCCAAGAAGACGCCGAAGACACCAGTGAGCTTGAACCACCAACCTTGCAGTTCAACTGGCTTTGCAGTCTAGCACATTAACCCACAGTGCCATACCAGGACTCCCATAGTGCCATACCAGGACTCTATTTAATGATACCATAAAAATGTAAAAGTTTACCTGAATCAGGTTCATACAGTGTAGCTGATGACATCTACATCTACATTCTAGATTTGCTAAGCAAACTGGAAGCATCTACATATTTTTATGCATATAACATGTGTTCTATGATTTTGTGCAAACTGCACAACCTCTTACCATTTAGTTTCCTATGTGTGGTATGCACGTTATATGTATGTGGTTGTTATTTCTGTGAGTACTTTGTCTGTGAAAATACAGAACTTCAAAGTGTGTATATATAAGTAATCTTCTTCAGCAAATCAGACTCGGCATGTTTGAGGCTTACATTATCCTCCCTGTTTACTTCAACTACTTACTTGAACTGCAAGGTCCTGTCCTTTATAACCTATTCCACAAAGCCTTCATTGGTTCCACATGCTCCAAATCATTTTCTTGGTTATGTTCTGAGTTTTGTTATTTATTTATTTATATATAACCCAAAGTGTTAGAACACACTATCTCTTAGTATTCCCCTGCTAATAGGCACTGTGAGTTACTTCATTGAACTGCAAAATCAGTTTGAACTGCAAGGTTGACAGTTTAAGCTCACCAGCTGTTCCTTGGAAATCCCAGCAGGGTCACTATGGGTCAGAACTGACTCAATGGCACTTAACAACAACAATGTACACATGGTTTACATACTCAAAAGAAATTCTTTCCTGAGTGGCTACTGAGTGCTTATTTGGTGAGCACTCTGCTCAGTACTGTCTTACCCTTTAATTGCTTCACTGAATTTTCACAAAAATCCTATCATGATGTTATTTTTATCTTCATTTTATAGATGAAAAAATGTGCTCAAAGTCATTCCAAGAACTGACAGAATCAAGATTTGAGCCAGAATGCTTTCCTATTACACCAAACTCTCACGACTAACTTCTGTGAGCACAAAAGAGTCACATTTCCCAGAAGTTCTGTCTACCTACAGAGGTTCACAATACTTGCTGATGTTTATACAAATATTTTCCGGGGACTTTCTATAGGGTACACACTATAGTTAAAAGAGGATAATAATTTCTTCAAAATTAACAAACAACTTCAAATTTAATAAACATTGAACCTATTAGTATCACTATTGGTGATTCCACAACTTTGTCTGCTTCTATAGGTACAGCACATCCTGGCATTTCCAGAGCAAATTTGCAGAGCTTTAACTATTTACAAGCATTTTAAGAGATTTTTGACAGAGTAATTTGCAATTAACTGCTAGAACAGAATGTGCTATAAGGCTAATATGTTTCTGCAGAACATCACTTGGAAGTGAAACATACTGTTTAAGATTTGTTGTTGTTACTCTTAACTGCCATAGAGTTGGTTCCACCTTATAGCAACACTGTATAGGATTTTCAAGGAGTGGCTGGTAGGTCTGAACTGTCAACCTTGAGATTAGCAGTACAATGCTTCTCCTACAGTGCCACAACAGGGCTTTGGTTAAGATTTAAACAAATCTAAATTTACAAATCAAAACACACACAACTCAACTATTTGTCAGTTGTGTGACTTTGAGTAACTAGCTTATCTTCTCTGAGCCTCATTTTCTTTGTGAACCAGAAATGTTATTGGGTCCTTGAACCATTTTGGATTGTGACTCATGGCAACCCCATCTACCTATCTCACTGAATCTAAGGGAGGACAAAATACAGTAACGCAGACAAATTACTTAGCAAAGTGCCTCTATATTAGCATTCGAAGTAGCTTTGCTCTCTTTCTCATCCTTTGAATCATTTTATGGGGAAAATCATATTTTATCATCCCTTTGTAAATATCAAGATTCTAAAAATTTTGCTAAAATTAACTCAGAAGTATACTGTGACATGATACCATCATACTTCAACTAGAGAATACAATGGTTTATAGTTGGATATTTAATTTACATTAACTAAAACAATAAAGCAGCATAAAATAATATTCTGTTTATAGCTACCTAAAATTCCCATGAGGACCGCCGGTTCCTTGGATGGAATTTGTTGTAAGAAGGGTAGAATATCATCAAGTACAAACCACTTATCTAAGTATTCCAAAATCTTTCCTAAGCATACCAATGAGTTTACACGGACCTATGAAAAGAGGTATAGACATGTGCATTAGCCATTTGTCTTTGCAATCTAGAACACAATATTTAAGTGTAAATTTGATCTTCACAGATACGCACATTAAAATCTCAAGACTAAAAGTAGTTCTAGAAGCTCTTCTCTTTTATTAATATAAGAAATATATCTGTTCATTTCCCTCCTCATCTACTGCTGCCTCCAGTGCTTGTGCCTCCAGTCTCCCACCAGTAACTCCAGCATCAGCGGTGGTGACGGCAGCAAAGGACAACAGGAAGCGAGCAGCCCTGAGATTTTAATATGGTGCCCCCATGACGTTCAAATCACGAGATGGTCTAGTTCACAAAACACTGTTCAATGACAATACCTGTATCATGACTTTACTAAGAACATTAGGGACATTTGAATTGTAAAAAGATTACATGCTCTCCACCAAGTGATCAATTCCAGTTTTTAAAAATTTTTTTCCTAACTCAGGTTTGGTGCATTCTTAAACTAAATACTTCAACAACATGTGAAGATTACCTATATTCATTACATATAAAAAAGTTTTCTATTTTTAGGTACACCTTTAATATAATTATTAAAATCTGGAATTTATAAGCTATATCATCAAAGTTCTATACTCACCTGACTATTTTGATACATATTTCAGACTCTGGCTTTTAGCTAGAATTTATTAAGACAGAGTAAGTACCTTTAAATCAGGACTTCAATATCAAAATTATATAAAATTACTCAAATTAAAAAGTTAACAGTAGCAAAAACTAATTTGGTTGGTTAAAAAAGTACATTTCTGCAAGAAAAATTAAAATAAAATTCTATTTCTGAAAAATAATGTTTTCTGAAATTCAAAGTACAAGTTGTTGTTGTTGTTATGTGCCATCGAGTCGGTTCCGACCCATAGCGACCCTGTATAGGGTTTCCGAGGGTGTAAATCTTTACAGGAGTAGAAAGCCTCATCTTTCTCCCGCGGAGCAGCTGGTAGTTTCGAACCGCTGACCTTAAGGTTCGCAGCCCGATTCGTAACCACTACGCTACCAGAGCTCCTTCAAAGTACAAGAGAGATTATAAAATAAAAATGAAGTATCTGAAGGTTTCGTTTGCTCTTATAATTATTTTAACCTGTGGAATATACACATTATAAGAGAAACCAGAAATGCTACTTTAATTTTCTTTTCTTTCATGATACATAAAATATTAGTCATATGAGCTATGAATAAATATAACTCTTGGAGCATTTTAGGGAATTCACTGTAGGGTTTATTTTTCTTCATTTGGGGGAAAGTATTAAGATACGCACTTCTAACTCATGACTGTTTCAGGAATTTTATAAGCAGTATTTTTAAACCTTACAGTGTAATTCAAGAATTCACATTTGTCACTCTGAAATTAGGTACACTGAAAGCAGTATATAAAATGCAAATGAATTCCAGGATTACTGTTAGAAATTCATTTTAAAGAGGACAAAACCATATTGGGCATTACTGTAATTCAAGTATCCATGCTCCCTTCCCACTTCACTCTGCACACCTACAAGGACTACAACGGAGTATGTGTCTTGAGATAAATTTGTACTGTCATAAAATAACACATATTATGGTTTTTTAACTATTTTAAAGGAATTTGGAGAAGTGAGTTTTCAGCTGTACACTGTTATGTAGTGTTGAGACACAGGAACCCTACAGACTAGAATTGCCCAATAGGGGTGGTATAGTACTGCTGCCTAGTTTAAACATTCAGTCATACAATTTGAGAATTTTAGAAAATAGGTCTGTATTTTATCATTTTTTATAATGAGGAAGAGACTCAGAGAGGTATGGTCACACTGCTATTTTTAGCAGAGTCAGAATAAGAGCTAAGGTTTTTTAACTTCTAGTCCCTTTGGTTATTTCAGTAAAAATGTGAGTGACATTTTTTTCTGGTTATGGTGTATGTTTTCCTTTTAGAGCCTTTCTAGCACAAGCATGAATTAAAGTGAATTTGTTGTTGCTGTTAAGTGCCATCAAGTCAGTTCTAACACAGACACTCTGTATAGGGTTTCTGAGGAGCAGCTGGTGAACTTGAACTGCCGACCTTGCAGTTGAAACTGACTTTGCAGTTCAGCCTATTAACCCACAGCAGCACATCAGGACTCCTAAATAAATTAAAAGGGTAAATGTTGTTGCTGTTGTTAAAGTGCCAGTAAGTTGGTTCCGACTTACAACGACCCTATATAGGGTTTCTAAAGAGCAGTTTATGGGTTGTGAACTGCTGACTTTAGTGGTTAGCAGTCCAGTGTTTATGCTACAATGCCACACTAATAAGTCCATAAAACACAATGTTGTTGTTGTTAGGTGCCATCGAGTTGGTAACGACTCATAGCGACCTTATGCACAGCTGAACGAAACACTGCCCGAACCTGGGCCAACCTGACTGCTGTTGCCATGCTTGAGCCCATCAATACTGCCACTTGGCCAATCCATCTCGTTGGGGGGTCTTCCTCTTCATTTAAATTGCCTTTGCCTATAATTCTGTTAGGCTACTAACTTTAAAAAATTTAAATCCATATTTTACCAGAAAAAAATAGGTGAGCTCAACAAAGAACTATCTTTAAAAATAAAAACTTAATAAATGGTTCCTTATCAGACATCAGCAGAACAACTAATCAGGTGAATTACATTTCTCCCTCTTTTCTAAAGCTGCTCTTTGAAAAGACTGCAATATTCCTTCTGTAATAAGTTCTTGCGATTTAGAATTACATAAAAGGTTAGGGACACTTATTGCTCCTGATGTGTTATTTATTCTGTGTCATTTATACTATGTTATTTATTCTACCTTCCTGGACTACCAAGTAACTAAGTATTAAAATTTTATATTCAAAGGAAGTAACTACTCTCAGCCCATATCTTTGAGGAAAATGAGTATATCCTACTTGCATTCATATTAACTTATAAGTATATTGCATTTTTTTTTTACTTTTTTTGAAAGTAGACAAGTGCAGAATGTAAAAAACTATGTAGATGACTGAAAATAAAGGCCATTTATAGAGAAAGCCATTCAAAAAGCTTTTGGGGTATATACAAAGGAACACTTTAAAACTACCAGAAAAACCAATTATGATTTCAAGCAGAAAATAAAATAAAATAAAATAAAATAAAAATCACTTAAATTTTAGACTGAGGTACTCACAGTAAGAGGACAGGGAGTAAGGTTAGAGATGCAATATTGTAAATTACACACCAGAGAACACTACAGCTAATGCTCACTTCTGTCTCATGTATAGTTTACCTTTACCAGAAAAACCCATTTCCAATGAGTTGATTATGATTCATAGCCACCCTATAGTACAGAATAGAACCAGTCCTTAGACTTTCAGAGACTTTAAATATTTGTAGGAACAGACAGCCTCATCGTTCTTCTGTAGAGCCTGCTGGTGGGTTTGAACCACCAACCTTGCAGTTAGTAGCTCAACAATTAATCGCCATGGCTTCCTAAGTTACCTATAGCCAAGAAGAAATACGTGAACAAACAATAAAGGGTTGCTGAACAATAAGAAGATTAATTAAGCCACTGAGAAATAAAGAAAAGCAAAACTTAAATGCATTTACTTACAGCAAGGGAAGATGTTTGTAGACAAGCATTTTTAATTCTTGGTATCAAAGCATTTTTCATGGATGGGTAGTCGATAAGATTTGCAAAGGTTGGAATGATATTTAGACAGAGTTCCTAGTAAGAAAATATATATTGAGTCAATTTTAGAAAAGATACTTTCATCCATTTCTAGCATATTCATAAAACAAAAAAAAGCATTCAGTATTTGCTCATTTGTCATATAGTTTGAAATAAGCTTTCATGCATTTGGTTCTCTCCATAACTGAAGAAAAGTTATTATCACTTTCCATTTTACAGATGAGGAAACAGGCTCAGAAGATGATGATCTGAGGTCTGGTGTTATCCATAATCTCTTTCTCTCATAACACAGTTCCTCATTTATTTTTTTAAAAATAGGAATGCCTACATTTTACTATCTTTTACAATGAAGGAAAATCAAGTCCAAATAAGACAGAGAATTCCTCTTAAATAAGGGACTTCCAGTTGTTACCAATATCTACATAAGGCAAAATAATACAAATACTTTAAAATCTTTTAAGACTATTTAATGGTACTCAAGAAAAAAAATATAATAAAGCAGTACTGTAATTATAATTTTCAAGATTGTGTATGTACATAAGTATCTGTCTACATGCTTAAAAAAAGAGTAGAAGGACATATTCCAAAACAGTAACAGTGGTCATCTTAAACCAAGAGTTATTATTTTCTTTATATTTGTAAGTGCTTCCAAATTCTGAACCTTAAGAAAGTATAATTTATAGAAACAGGGAAGTGATCTAAGTCCTTCATGTTAACTAGTATGATGCCTATAGTTAAGTACTGGGAACGCTGAATGAGATAAGAACAAGAGGAAGAAATGGCCTGAGAACTGGCTAGAACATCCATGTCAGATCCTTCAGAAGGGTAGAAGGAACACTAATGAACAAAGATCCTTTAGCAAAGCACAGACAAGGGATTCTGAGCAAAGTAGAGTTACAAATGTGCACCAGGGAAGGAACAACCAGGAAATAGGATGAACTACTGAGGCCTGGAGTGGCACTGTAGGATAAGCACTGGACTGCAAGGTTGGTTTGAACTACAAGTTGGTGGTTTAAATCCACCAGCAGCTCCTCAGAAAACCTATACAGGGTTGTTATGAGTCGGAACTGACTCAATAGCTCTTAACAACAAGCAGCATTGCTATAGGATGAACTATGGAGTTCTGGTGTGGTGCTGCAGAATAAATACTGGAATGCAAGGTCTGTTTGAATCGCAAGGACAGAAGCTCAAACTCACCAGCTTATCCTGGGATCGATATGAGTTGGAATCAGCTTGACAGCACAACAACTGACAATATACGATAAACCTAACAGGTATTTGTAGTCAGCAGAAATAAATAAATAAATTGCTGGGAATCTGGCGCCCAAGTACTGGCATGTTATTTTATTTGCTTTAATTTATTCCCAAAATGTATCCAAAAGGCAATTGTAAAATTTTTATATTCACTCAGAACTACCTGGGTAATAGAATTCTCGTTGTATACGGCTTTTGAGGAGTGGCTGGTTTGAACTGCCAACTTTGTGGTTAGCAGTCCAGTGTTTATCCTACAGTGCCACACCAGGCCTCAGGTAATATAATTAGAGGAAAAGAAATACAAGCCACACAGATAGTGGAGAAGAAAAAGCCTGGGTGAGGTACTGTGCTCCCGTAACCAGAGGGTGACTCTTGAAGGAAGATCAGCGTCTAACTGATTACACAGATAAATGAGAGAGAGTAGCTCTCTCTTATTAATCAAGCTCAGGAGAGTGGGTTACAAAGAGACAAATCTTAAGCTATGTCTAAATCACTTAGTTAAATGATGGGTGACCCTTCTTCCTAGGAAACAAGATAAAGCACTTAGAGATGACAAAGAACAACAAAAATTCCTTCAGGAAATTCAATGACTAGATGCCTAGGAATTTCTACATCCTATTTTATACTTTCTGTCTCTATAATTGGGGTGTTGGGGAGAGGTGGCGGTGGTAGAATGCACATAGTTTCTATGCTTATTTTAAAAGGTAAATAATTCAAGAAACAAAACCCATCTTATACATACATTTCTATAATACCTCCTTTGAAGGCTGCTAGCTTTAGAAAAGCATCTTTTACCTTTCCAAATGTTTTTCAAACACTTAAAAGTTTCAATCAAATTTCATTTCAGAAAATACCTATCTAAGTCTCCAAAACGACTTTTAGAAGTTTTTCACAGCCTTCTGTGCGTGAAGCCCGATAAAAACATTTTGTTTCTTACTCTAGGAGTCTCCCACTCTGACTTCATCATATACTTTTCAAGCAATGTTGATACTAATTGGTTGGACTGGTTAATAAAGACTATACTGAATGATATCAGCCCTGGTTCTTTCTAAAATTTACCAAAGCTTCACAAGTCAGTTTGAATTAAATACAAATTATTTCAGTAAAATATGGGTGGATGGTACTTACTGGCTCAAATAACTCCTTTAAGAAGTGTCCACTATCTCTAAAAAAACGAAAACCAGCCCCTTCACTCATTCAACCATTATTCTCCTTTATCCGAAAATGTTTCCAGAAGATAGAGTTCACAATTTCTTTGGAAAACACTAAAATATAGACGTAACAAGCACATCTTCCCACTCACCCCTGTCATTTGGACAAAAGCAGCATGTTTTCTCTTGCTTTTAGGAAGGATGATTTCATCGTAAGGAAGAATTCTTTTTTTGTTTTTAAAACATCAACCTCAGAGCATTATATAAACAACAAAACTTAGAAGACAACAACAGAAATGAGCCCCCAAAAGTGGCCTTTTATGAGGGGGCTTCAAAAAGTTCATGGGAAATTTTCATCTCGCTTTTCCACGAACTTTCTGAAGCTACCTTGTAATGTGTGGCTATAGGTTCATGGTTTTTTTTTTTTTAATGTTTAAATCAATAGCTTTAACAAATTAAAATTTATTTTTCATTATTAGAATTTCTATACTACCAGCTGTTCTGCGGGAGAAAGATAAGGCTTTCTGCTCCCGGAAAGATTTCCAGCCTCGTAAACCCTGTACAGGGTTGCTATGAGTTGGAATCGACTCCACAGAACACAACAACAACAACAACATACTAGCAAAGGAACTAGAAACTTATAAATACAGACTTAAATGTTCAGTGAGATGTTCTTAAGAATGTATTTCCCAAAGGTAAAAACTGAAACTAAGTAAGACTTTTAATTGTGCTTCAAAATGTTATTCCAGACAGTACACAGAAATGAATTTTTAAAAGCAATGACTATCAAACTAAAAGTTTGTCAAAGTACATGGTGTTTCAAGATAGTTTGTCTGGAACAACAGCATTAATAGAAATGCATTAGGGATGGTTTTACTGACATATTGTCTACCTGCTCTACAAATTTATTTCAATGGAGAAGGAACAGTTTTTCTAAACAGAAAATGAAGTACCAAGCATGAAAGAATATTATGTGTATGGGAAATACCTATTTAATGATTTCATAAAAAAAAGACAATTACCTTTGACATTTTCAAGAATACTTTCATTCATGTTTAAATTATTCATTTAAGAAGCAGAAAGAAGTACAACAATCTAAGCTGCAGTATATAAAATCTTATTCTGTAATAGTACATTGGTAATAAATAAAAACAATCAATCAATTTATTTCCCAAAACAGATATTCATCAACTGATTCTTAAAAATTGTTAGGTGGTGTTGTTGTTGTTATGTGCTGTGGAGTCGGTTCTGACTCATAGCGACCCTGTACAGGGTTTTTGATGCTGGAAATCTTTACAGGAGCAGAAAGCCTCACCTTTCTCCCGTGGAACAGCTGGTAGTTTCCAACTTACTGACCCTGAGGTTCGCAGCCCGATTCATAACCACTACACTACCAGAGCTCCTTTGTTAGGTGTAGATGTACTTTAATAATAATATATCATTAATGGAGTTCAATACATAACATATTATTGATAAATCTTACAGAAAAGGTTTTAAGACTTAAACCCAAAATATACCTTCCATCTTTCTTTACTCTGCTTTAAGAATGAAAATCACCATTAAAGACAAACAAATACAAAACTATACCTGGATCTGAATGGAAGGAGCTTCTAGCGCTCGGTAAACCATTGGTAAGATACTATTCTTTATTTCATCTGGAGGAGTTTTGGTTAGTAGCAAATCCATTTTTTGTAAAAAAATTAACAAAATCTGTTCAGAAAAAAGGGGGGACAATGGATTAAAGTTAGAATCTTTAAGGAACTCTATACATGACAACATTTTTTTAAAGTTTCCTCAAAAGATGAAGTTATAAGTTTTGACACTCACCATGTTGCTAGCCTGAAGGCATGGGAGAAAAAAAACATACAAATCAAGTCTTTTAGATTTTAGGAAGCACAATATGATCCACTAATAGCAGTTTACACATTAAAAACTAAAGACAAAACTCCTAACCCAGTAATAGATCATTCACCTACAAGAACCACCTGGAAAACTACTGGGTAAAAAAATAAAGGCCTGAGGAAAGTCAAGCCAGAGGTCCCTAAGATTCAAAGTCCATCATTCAACTTCCAGGAAGCTCCTAATGTGAAGTCCATTTATCCACAGGGCAGACACCAATCTGAAATGCCTGGTTATCTGCTAGTCCAGGCCATGGCAGATGACATACAAATGGAAAAGACACTGAGCTTCAGGGAAAGCCTGTTAAGAAGAGCCACGTAACAGGAAGGAAATAAAGTCACACAGAGCAAACCATCAAGAGCAAATCAACAGCATTTGCCCCAGGGCACAAAAAAGAAAGGCTAAAAAGAAAGAAGACAGGAAACAGGAAACACAGAGAGGAAGTGGGATAAGTGAGGTGACAAGGTGGGAATTGCAATTGAAGACATGAAACAAACATTCACAAACTGTAATGACAAATTGTTTAGCTCTGCAAATCTTCACCCACTTCATAATAAAAAGGTTTTTTTTAACCCAAAGCACTGCAGTCTGAACACATGGCATAGAAGAAAAGGTGCCAAAGTACTTCACTATCTTCCAATGAGATCCCAGCATGATACAGAAATACTTGCTGACTCTTCTATAAATAATACAGTACGTTTTACAAATGTACTAATATCAAGTAAAAAAAAATATCCTTTTAATACCATATTCCTTGAATCAGATAAATGGAAATGCCATATTATTATTATTTTTTTAAATCAGAAGCATATACAGGAATCCTCACTTTGCATAGTTCTGATAAAAGCAAATTTCAGAGTCAGCAGTTTCTAACAGCATGATTCAAATGTGAGTCACATGGTATATACTGGTAGTGGTCATGTGCCGAGGAGTTGCTTCCCACTCATAGTGACTCTGTACAGGGTTTCCGAGGCTGTTAATCTTTATAGGAGCAGAAAGCCTCATCTTTCTCTGGCGGAACAGCTGGTAGTTTCAAACTGCTGACCCTGAGGTTCGCAGCCTGACTCATAACCAGTACGCTACCAGAGCTCTGGTATATACTGTGGTTGTTAAGTTCCATTGAGTGAGTCGATGCCGACCCATAGTGATCCTGTATAAGGTTTCTGAGGAGCAGCTAGCTGGTAAGCTTGAACTGCTGACCTTGCAGTTCAAAGGCTTTTAAGTCTGACGCATTAGCCCACAGCGCCAAACCAGGAATCTCCCGGTATATACTAGCTGTAAGTTATTGATGTCAAGTGCCTATCGAGTCGGAACCGACTCATAGCAACCCATGCACAGCAGAATGAAACAATGTCCGATCCTGGACCAACCTCACTACCGTTGCCACACTTGAGTCCATCAATGATGCCACCTGGCCAATCCATCTCTTTAGGGGTCTTCCTCTTTTTTCTCTAACCCTCCATCTTACCCAGCATGACATCCTTCTCCAGCGACTGTTCCCTCTGGACAATATGTCCAAAGTATGAGAGATGAAGCTTAGCCATCTTGGCCTCCAAGGAGCACTCTGGCTGCACTTCTTCCAAAACAGATCTACTGGTTATTTTGGCAGTCCACGGCACTTTCAGTATTCTCCTCCAACACCACAACTCAAAGGCATCAATTCTTCTACGATCTCCCTTATTCACTGTCCAGCTTTCACATCCACATGAGGTTATTGAAAACACAATGGCCTGGGTCAGGCGCACCCTAGTCCTCAAGCTGACATCTCTGCTCTTCAATACTTTAAAAAGTTCCTGTGCAGCAGATTTGCCCAATGCAATACGTCGTCTGATCTCTTGACTGCTGCTTCCGCGAGTGTTGATAGTTGATCCAAGAAGAATGAAGTCCTTGACAACTTCAATCTTTTCACTGTTGATAAGAATATTGTTTATTGGTCCAGTGGTGAGGATTTTTGTTTTCTTGACATTGATATGTAATCCATATCGAAGGCTGTGCTCTTTGATCTTCATAAGTAAATGTTTCAAGTAATCCTCACTTTCAGCAAGCAAGGTTGTATCATCGACATATCGCAGGTTGTCAGTGAGTCTTCATCCAATCCTGACGCCACGTTTTTCTTCATAGAACCCAGCTTCTCGTATTATTTGCTCAGTAAACAGGTTGAATATGATGAAAGAACACAATCTTGTCGCACACCTTTCCCAATTTTAAAACATTCAGTGTTCCCATGCTCTGTTCAATTGTAGCCGTTTCTTTATTACCTTTAGCAAAACTTTACTTGCTTGAGATACCAAAGAGATTGTCTAATGATTTCCACATTCTGTTGGGGCACCTCTCTTTGGAATGGGCACAAATATGGATCTCTTCTAATCAGTCGGCCAAACAGTTGTCTTCCAAATTTCTTGGCAGGGATGAGTGAGTGCCTCTTGTGCTGCCTCACTTTCTTGAAAGATTTCAATTTTTATTCCATCAATTCCTGGTGCCTTGTTCTTTGCCAATTCTTTCAATGCACTTTGGACTTCCTCCCTGAGTATCACTGGCTCTTGTTCATATGGTATCTCTTGAAATGGTTGAACATTAACCATTTCCTTTTGGTACAATTACTCTGTGTATTCCTTCCATCTTTTCTTGATGCATTCAGCATCATTCAATAATTTGCCCAGAGAATCTTTCAATAACGAAAGTCGAGGCTTGAATTTTTTCTTCAGTTCCCCCAGCTTGAGAAATACTGACCGTGTTCTTCCCTTTTGGTTACCCAACTCCAAATCATTGCATATGTTATTATAGTATTTGGTTTTATCTTCTCGAGCTGATCTTTGAAATTTTCTGTTCAGCTCTTGGACCTCTTCAATTCTTCCATTTGCTTTAGCTTCTCTAAGCTGGAGAGCAAGTTTCAGCTGTAAGCAATTCCATAAAATACCAACTTCCCTGTTAGCTCTTTAGTCCATAAACCACTATGAAAGTAACGTACCAGTGACCAATCACGTCACTTCTGATGGAGACCGATCACTGCTCCATCTATTAGTCAGTGCATGCACAGGCAGCAGAGTGGATATGTGCAGTCTTACTTTTCCAGTGCTAAATCCACTACAAAAATGGAAAAATGAAAGAAGAAACTGGCCAACAAAGACAAATGTGTTTGTAAGGTTGTAGGCACAAAATTGGACACAAAAGGAGGTGGTTGAATAAACTAGGTACAGTACACCCAACACCACAGATTTTGTGATCATTGAAGAATAAAAGGGTTAAACTGATACCAGTTCTAGTTGACTTGTCCATATTTTCTCCATGTTACAGAAAAGTGGATGATACAATTCTATGGACAAAAATCTAATAACCATACCTCCAATAGATAGATTTCTGTATGTATGTGTGTGTTTTGTCTGACACTGTGTATGCATAAGAAAAGCACAAAAGGATACATTACAGCTTGTAAACTAGATACTGGGAAGAGGAAATAGAAAGCAAGAGTTTCTCCAAATACAAACAAAATTATGTATCTGTGTATCCATATCAAAACACACATACAGAGTATATAAAAGTCCCATGATATAAACACTATTTGTTTGATATAACCTCATTTTCATACAACCACATATGTGCAAGTGTGAGTCTGTTCTTAAGTGCTGTCAAGTCAGTTCCAACTCATAGGGACCCTGTATAGGGTTTCCAAGGGGTGGCTGGTGAGTTGGAACCGCCAACCTTGCTGTTAAAACCAACCTTGAGGTCGGGTACTTATTTTACAATGCCACACCAGGACTCCAAGTACGAGAATATGGTGATGGTGGTAATGTGCCATGGAATCGATTCTGACTCAGCAACCCTGTATTGGGTTTCTGAGGCTATAAATCTTTACGGGAGCAGATGGCCTCATCTTTTCTCCCACGGAACCACTGGTAGCTTCGAACTGCTGACCTTGAGATTAGCAGCCTGACTCATAACCACTATGCTATGAGAGCTCCTTAAGAGTGAATACAGGAGTGTATTAAAGAACAGATATCCAATATTAATGACATAAGAAATTCAAGCAATTTTTATATCTTTTCTTATGTTTTTCAGTATTGTTGAAATTTGTGTAATGTATATGCATCACCCATAAGACCAAGAAAATTATTTCCATTCTGAAAAAAGTTAATTAAAAGAAAGCAATAGATAAGTAGGCAAAAAACATTCACCCAAAAGAAATCTGGCCAACCTTACTAATAATTCAGGAACACAAATTAAAGTAACACTGAAGTGTGGCGCTGTAGGATAAGCACTGGACTGCTAAACCACAAGGTCAGCAGTTCAAACCCAGCAGCTGCTCCTCAGAAACCCTATACAGGGCTGCTATGAGTGGGGGGGGTAACTTGACAGCACTTAACAACAACAACAATCTAAAAGATGATCATACTTTGCCAGCCTGGTTGCAGGGAAAGTAGTAAGCTCATGTACAACTGATCTGCAGAATCATATTTCCTAAATTAACACCTACTGTAGTTCTGACTCACAGTGACCCCTGTAGACAGGGTTTCCAAGGAGCGGCTGGGTAGATCTGAACTGCCGACCTTGTGGTTAGCAACCCAGTGCTTGTCCAATAGTGCACACCAGAACTCCAAATTTATACCCTTTAGGAACAAATACCGCAAGGTCAGCAATTCGAAACTACCAGCTGTTCCACAGGAGAAAGATGAGGCTTTCGCTCGCGTATAGATTTACAGCCTCGGAAACACTGTACAGGGTTGCTATGAGTTGGAACCAACTCCACCCCACATAACCATAACCACCACCAGGAACAAGTGAGTCTAAAGTTGAGAGACAAATTTTACCAAATT